TTAATTAATTTTTAATTAATTTTTTTTTAAGTATTTCAACTCTTCAATTAATTAATTAATTTGTAATTAGTTTTTAATTTATTAATTAATTTTAATTAAATTGTCTATTACAAACGGTTGATGTACATCAAACGTTAACGCTCAACTCAGCCAATAAAACCCTTTTTACTTTTTTCTTTGCCCTGTTTGATCCGGTCATGTTTCCACTTAAAATTTCCTTTTAATCATCCATCGAATGAATTAACTTAACCTTTGCAAAAAATGACAGTTTAAAAAGTGGGAATATCGAGTACGTACGTTGCTTCATTTTTTTCTCCAAAATGCTTCAATACATATTCGACATACCCATACATTCTCATATAATGACCAATGCGGCCAATGGGCTGATGATATATGAAAATAATTTCAGCTGCTTCCTTAAGCGTAAGGTATTCCCAGCAAATCCGTTTTTTCATCTGCATTTTATTTTGTTAGGCATGTAGGGTATATTCTCCATGCATGTAGCTGGCCGGAAAGAATTCTACAGGAAGTGGGAAAGAGAGCGAGTATTTATTAAATATATGTGTTCTGAAACTGGGTATGAGCAGAGCGAAATATATATTAAAACAATTTCCGACTCAGTTTTAAAGCTTTCAAGTTCGAGTTCTTGTTGGAATATCATAAGCTTAGCGCTTTTGTTGTATTTATTAAAACTTTTTGCTTTTAGAAACTTCTAAAACTAAAAAAAAAAAAAAAACAAATTCAAGTAAAACTCACTGTTAGCAGCTGCTTCAAACAAACTAACTGACGGATGGCATTGAATAACGTCTTCGTTGACTTCGTATCAAATTATCGGTCAATAAAATCAAAAGTAAATTCATATTTTTTTGAATGCTTGTAGTAATTTTCCCTGTACTTTATTGACAGGATTATATATATAAACGTGTATGTAACAATTTATATACGATTGCATGTGTGTGTAAATGCAAAAGCAACCAACATAAGGCGGTAATAAAAAATTACCTGAAAATGCAAATAAAATTTTAATTTATTTGCAACAACAACAGCAACAACGGCTGTAACAAACATTAAATTTGAAAACAAAGCCAAAATGCAATGATTTTATAATTTTTTATTTCTCAAAGTTTTTTATATTTTTTATTTTTTGTTTTTTTGCGCTTTTTTCATGAAAAATTCCAATAAAGGCGTTACAGGCAGCAGCATGTTCATGCCTGCATAATGCGCGGCTAAAGGAAAACCTTAAGCGAACCAGCCACCAGTCGATGATTTAATGAGTGAATTACTTACTTTTTGTGATTTGCAAAAATTCAATAAAATGTTCAACTCGAAGAAAAATGCAAAATTGCACGTAAAGCAATGTGTTTTTATCGCTTTTTTTTTTTTTGTTTATTAATCATACGTCACTATGTTCCGTATACGTTCGCGTATATCACTTATAAATATTTTATTCGTATAAAAGAGTAACAATAAGAAGCATGCACTGGTAACTGTTTTTTTTTTTTTTTTCTTTTTTTCTTTGCACTTAAATTACTTTAAAGTTCAGTTATATTGTCGTTTGTAAGAAAAAAAAAAAAAAAAAAAATTAAAAATTAAAAAGCTATTGCGAACTTTATCAACTGTTCAGATTATTTCGTTCTCTAGCTCTGTCTATGTGCAGGTGAGCATTTGTTGTCAAAGGTGACGGTCGATCTATTAAAAAAGAATTGTAATAATAATAAATAAAACATGAAAAAAAAAAAAATAGAAAAACAGTTAAAACCAGTAAAAAAAATCATTTGTAATTCTTTGCTTAACGAATGTTATTAATAAACTATTAGATGTATCCAGAAATAAAGCGGTTTAAGTGTGGTGGCTTATGACCAATCATTAGATATCGTATATCGTTGTACAGCCATTCAAATAATGGGTCTTCATTTTCAATAGCGTACGTCCTTGGGTGAAAACATGTTGGAGTATCAAAAAATTGCGACCTGCTCGATGAACGCAGGAACACAAGATGGACATATGGACAGATAAGCTTAGACCGATTCGGAAAGACTTTCGATATAATAGAAATTGGGTCCGCCTCAAGTTCTCTTGGTTCTCGAAGACATCCCTTTTCCCATAAGGGATGCAAGATATGAAAAGACAAACTCTGGGAAAAACTGGATGTGGGTAATACTCCCTTACAGTTGAATAAAATTTTGAACGTTTTCCACAACGACATAGATCTAGAAAATTGAAGAATTTTATTACAAAAGAAAAATATATTTCTCCTAATATTCATAAATAAAAGGTGAATAAAGAAGACCGCACTATTTATGAGATTATCTAATATGTATCTAAGTAAAGGAATTCAATCAATTTAATTATTATTAATTAATATTGAATAATTCAGTTGAATAAAATATTGGGGCTAATGCATTTAGACTTAGCTTTTGATATTCCGTGTGACCCAGCGACGTCCAATGAAGACAGCTAAAATTAACTTCAAGTTAATAGTGCTGCTTGGCATTGTAAAAAGTGACGAGTGGCAACAGTTAAGATTTATTAAATTTTACAAACATAAATTCATCTCATCATTTACGCAGACTTGTTGTAGGTCTTTTACAAAAAATCGCTTAAAATATTAAAAATATGCATGCATTCAAATTTATATATAATTCAGAAAATTTATAGCCTAAAGGTGGAACTTACTGTTTCCCTACAAAAAAACCCGTCTATTCTATGAAAACAATGAAAAATATTTTATTCGAAGCTTTGATCATCACTAGCTTTACATTTTTCCCACCTTTTGACAATTTGTGGGTAGTGTGTCAAAAAGGCAAAGGTTGCTCTCTCGAAATAGGCCAGTCATTGAGCAATTTCTGTATATTTTCGTAAAAGAAATAAATTATTGTTCAGCAAGTGCACATTGGTGCACATTGATGCAAGCAAGTGGTAATCGGAGGAACTTGAGTTTGTCGAGAAACCCGCACTTCGCACTTGGTACTTCGCAGTTGAGTTCTTCCATGAATCGGTTTTGCTGCATCAATAGACGGACGGATTTCATGGAAAAAAATGCCTTTATTTTGCAAATATTTAGCTTAAATCTAAACCGCGACTAATTGTTGCGGTTAGGGTTTGGTATTGATCGTCTCAACAAAATTTAACAGCTAACAGCCCGCACTTTTCTGGTCCCACCAAACACAATAGAGCATCGTCCTGGTAAAATGATTCAGTCTCACAGTCTGTGTGAATGACACGCCTGCATCTGCCTGCGAAGTTTTATGCCAGCGACTTCTTCCGCTATTCTAGGCACCTCCACACGTTCCACTCGAAAATACCCACATATCTCTCTCTTTTACCTACAAATACTAACCGCTGCCTTACGTGCGGGGAGACTCGAGTTTTTCAAATACATATAAAAAAAAAATAAAAAAAAATAGCACAATAGATTCTATATACCAGCTCTCCGGATCATAAGTTAGGTTTACTAGATACTATGAGTACCGCTTCGATTGTCGTCGAGGATATACAACGCGAATGGTCACAAATTCGATCAAACTGTTGAATCTTTATTCTAAGAACTTGATTGGTAGACGGGTTTTGGGAGGGATGCGAGTTCGGGTTCGTAAAAGCTGAATAATATATCATTACTTTTTCTTTTTTTTCGGTTCCTTACAATTGTTTTTTTTTTTTTTAATACTCTACACCACTTGTGGTACAAAGACACATTAAATATGCACAGATGAGTCACTTTATGAATTGATTTAAGCCTGTCTGTCCGTCTGTCCGTTTTCTTGCAGCTGTCTATTTTTGAGATATTTTGATAAGATTTGATGACGTGTTTTGATCCACGGCAATGATTCAGAACGGACCACCATTTCCACTTCTCATGTAACGACTTTTTAAAATAATAATAATTTTATAAAGCAAAGTGGCGTAGGCTATTTAATTGTTGGCCTTGGTCCAGTATAGCGTTTTTACTTATTTTTATCTAAATGCATAGCATAATATATATTATCTTAGTAGGATTTATAGTCTAATTAATCTAAGTTATAACATTGGTTGAATTTTCAAATCTAACTAATACGATTTTAGGCAAATAAATAAATAAACGGAAATTGTTATACGGACGTTTCATATCGCCTCTTTTGAACATACGATTTTTTTTATTAATTGTGAGCAACCATTTCATTCGATTATATTTGCTTTATCTTGATATAAAGCATGATATTTTAATTTGAAAAAATAAATAAATATAACGATTTTTTAAAGATTGTAAGGGTGAAGTTAAAGTTGAGTTCGCACCGAAATATCAAAAACTTTTTGCGACTTCATTAACAGAGCGTTGTGAAAGCTTTGGCATTGTTACATAAATACTTCGTAGATCTGTAATTACCTGCATTCAGACGATTCGTAGCCGGATTGTGAAACCTAGTTCATCCATATTCGAAGCGTATTCAGGCCATGCGAGTTTTAATGAAAATGCCTACGAAAAACTCTCTCTCTCTCTCTCTCTCTCTCTCTCTCTCTCTCTCTCTCTCTCTCTCTCTCTCTCTCTCCCCCTCTCTCTCTCGCTTTAGGAACCGGTTTAAAATCGATTTGTTGAGGGCAGTTGATTATCGCAAGATGGTCCATTTAAAAAGCTCATTGTCGAGGCAATCTATATGGAAGTAGCTCTTAAACGACATCCACATTTCTACCTACGTCAATATCCGTATATGGATATTTTGTAATAAATGCATTTCAAAGTTAATAATAATAATTTTTGCGTTTCGTCATGCACATGGGGGTACCGAAGTTACGTTAGTATAGAAGTAAAACAAATGGTACATGCAAGTATGAACGGAAGCCATTTATGCATTTCTTGTAGCTCTAGAGTAACATAATTTCGTTTCATTTATAGCCTTTTATTTATGAAATTTAATTAACTAATATTTTACTAGCAATTCTTAAAGTAGATAACAACCGATAACATTAACTACTTAAAGCCATTTTATAATAATCATTTCAATTAATTAATTTGTTTATTACAGCATTAAATCTGCCATTTGTTAACGAAACTAAGTTGGTGATTACAGGCACTAGCACTTTGCGCACTGAAGGTATGTAAGCGATAATAATGATCACATCATCTAACATATGCCCGTATTATAATATAATTAAAAAATTATGTAGTTTTTTTTTTTTTTTTTTCCTCTTAACGAGAAAAACTCTTTGCATAAATAATAAGTTATAAATAGTTTATTACCTGTTTTGAATGCAAGACAAGGTCAGTTATATGCTGGTTATGCTTGTGGTCATAGTTGTAGTTACTACTTACAAGCCAAACAATTACCATTACTTATGACTATGGCTAACTATAAGTAAGTCAGCTTACAAGACTGAAGACCATTTAACTGTCGATTAAATAAGTCAGTTGGTCTGCTTGTATATAGTTTGAGTACAAAATTGCAAAAAAAAAAGAAAAAAAAAAACAAAATACGTTTTTCTAAAGCCATTATTCGTATTTTATGCCCACACTTTAAGTAACTGTTAAAAGAAGAAAAATAAATAAATAAATACATAAATAAAAAGAAATAAAAAACTATGCAAAACTGTAAATTATAAGAGAGTTTCGAACCGCAAAACCTTGAAATAATCAAGAAAACCAGACCTGCACTCACACATAGAATTTTGTTTCTTTTTTTTGTAGACGGTAACCGTGGTAGTAACGTGTACAAAATAGCAACAACAAAAATAATAGTTGTTATAATATTTGGTATTCAGTATTGGTGTGCATTTTGCAATTCGTTAACTGCGATCGATCAGCATCAGACATTGCAAACGCGTTTAGTTAGAATTTTTAATAGCATGCTAACAATATTTTGTGGCTAATTGCTACATACCGACCTTGGTATATACGACGAGATATACGACGATTGCTATTACTGCGGTAATACCTAGGAACGCCTGGAACGCCAACAGATATCCAAAAAAAATCGACCTAATCGTAATCAGAATGAAATTTCAAATTGAATTTGGTCCGTCCATCCGTAAGGCAATTAATTCTTATTCCACACCTGCTATTTTTATCCTCAGATAAAAAGATGAGATATTCGCGCACATTTTTATCCAATATTCCAAATTCGGAATGCCACCTCGTCATGTGCGTTTATTCGTCCATCCATCTACCTAATGTTATAGCATTTATGGTAAATATTCTCCCGTTTGCAAAAATGAAAATATCATCTACGATTTTGCCAAAGAATTTAAAATTGATCTAAGCAGGTCAAGACACAGATGCCTACAATGCCAACAAGTCTGTGAAACGAAAACTGACTACCTTTGATTTTTGTGTTTTTTACTCGTTACTCATAAACCACAACACATACAACATATAAGTATCCACTTTAATTCTAAAAATAGGAAAAACTCTCCCGCGTCCATCCATAGAGTAGAAACGATTCGCTTACGACCAAATGCAATTGTTTTCCTAGTTTTCATTCCTATAATACTACATATATATAATAGCGATCAAGCTATCACCCTCTTAGGAGCCCCGTAGTCATTGCGAAAAAGTCAGGCTGACCACTGTCTAATGCGCTGGTCCCTAATCGGTAAGCGTTATGCTTTCACCATTAATGTGCCCTACCGCTACTAAGATTTGCACCTGGGGAAACTGGCTTGGTAGTCACCATTCATATCTGCTCGCTTACTCAGGCAAAATTAACAGACAGAAATTTTTGCAGTCGGTTTACTTCCTCGTCCACCTACATAACAGGAAACTTTATAATGCGCATACCAATGCACACAAGCTATAACAGCAAGCATCCACAATTCATCCCAAAGCGATTGCAATTCTCTTACCTTTCCTTTCTTTTTTTTTTTTTCTAACACTTGTGTAATAGAAGTAATAAAAATTATGGCTTTGCAAACAAAAAAGATGCGAAAAAACTTAATATTACGTAACAACCACAAAAAAATAAAAAAACTGACAGCAAAACTTAACAAAATAACAGTTAATAATTTCCAACATAAAAGCGTATGTCGACTGAAGTCGGATATTTAGAGAGAAATTTTTTTTTTTTTTTTATTCATTATTGTTTATTCATTATTGAATATTGAGGAGATCTTTAACGGTTTCGTTTACAGGAGCACGGGGTTAGCCCCGTGTTGTATTTAGACTTCATAATCAGTTGTCTATAAATTTTATTGATAACCTGAATATGAATAATCTTTCAATTGTTATATGGAAGGGATGAATGCAGTTAAGGTGAGCAGTGTTCGAATTTATTTTTCACTTCTTCTTGTGAAGGCCAAATTCTCTTTGTTCAAGAGAAAGTGAACGTATTTTCTTTATGAGGAAAGCTTTCTTCGAATCTCTTATTTTATTAAAAGACATTTTATAAATTGTAATGATCTTGGGAAATAGATCTCAACAATGGTTACTCCCTGTTACGTGTCAAATTTGTGTTGTTCCGTAGCAACATGTCAATGGATTTCGTACGCAACTGCATTGTTTTGCGTTGCCTATAGAACAGATAGACTAACATGACTATGGGTATTTCGGGATCGTCATCGATGGCAGTGACTTGGACGAAGTGTGGCTGCTTTATCCCAAAAGACGATGAAAACCTGGAAGGGAAAGGGATAGACTTTTACATGCGAAAATTCGACTTGGACTTTGTTGATTTGGAAGAGTTGATTTAATCTCAGTATGATTCGATCGACATGCAGCGATTCGACTATAGAACTTGAGTACGATATTTGTCGTTAAGCATTTAAATTTTTAGGTAATTATAGCCAGGTAAATATATTTATGCTTCAACGTGGATATCTGTTCATAAAAAGCTTCAATCATTGCTAGGTGATTATATAAGGAATGGGCTAAAGCATCTTCAGCAATTTCTTGTTTCTGGAATGCATCGCCCATCTCAATCATCAATTGCATAATACAGCACGTTGTAGGCACAATACAGCGGCCACCACTGCAATCACGCCGAGGCCTATCTAACGTGTTTATTGTCCTATATGTCAAACCCTCACACTGCAGCTCAGCAAGCAACTCTTTTCGCTTTTCATTGGGCAAAGCATGTGGTTGCAGTGTAACTCAACAACCAAGCACCCGTGCGACTCTCTTGCGAATTTGTGTCCAACCGTAGCCACGTCGCATCTCTTCAAAGGACAGACATTGCTAAGTCAGCCAGAAAGAGAGACTATTACCATAGATTTAATGATCGCATAGAAGATACCGATCCAACACATGTTGTCAGCTAGTATTTCACCATAGTAGTAAAACTATGGAGAAAACAAATAGATAGATCCACCCCGTTCCTTTATGTGAATTCACTCGCCGGGGAATTGTATCGAGATATTTTCTGTCTACAATTTGTTTGATTAAAGCTACTTAAGAATTTGTACATGAATCGACATGATTTTCTAAGAAACAACTAAAACCAATATAATGGGATAAGGTCCATCACTAAACACTCTACACAACCCCACGGATACTTATATAACGACTATTCAAAATAAGGCGCTTTATCGGAAGTGGTCGAAGAAGTAGTTCTAGGGGAGCCATTTACAATAGCATTCGTCCTTGAGTGCAGTGGTATAAGTGTAGCAAGTTTCATAAAATTATTTCAAAAATTACGGCTTGTATGTTAAACGAAACAATTTCGCAAGGAGGCAGACAGACGGACAAACAATCTTAAATCGATTAAGAAAAATCGATTACAAGAAAAAGTGGATCTATCTCAACTCCTCGTAGATATATTGCACACCTACGCACAAATTTAGCAAACTCTTGTGCGACAAATTGTGTAGAGCATAAGAAGCGTAATCTGAAATAGAAATGATTTTTATTTGAAAATATTGTAAAATAAATATGTAAGCAGCGTAGAAATGATTGCCAAAATGAAATTCCATAAATGGAAAAATGGGAAATAAACTTATTTATGTACTTTTTAAATTGTTATTATTTACTTTTATTTCTTTTTTTTTTTTTTTTTGCACATAAAATGCGGATATTGATATGCGTATGCCAAAAACTATCAACGAACTTAACTGGAAAATATCAAGTTTTCAATTTTTAAAATTTATCACGATTTTTGTCTCGTAAATATATGTAAACAACGAAAACCCATAAACTAGATAATAAAATAAATTGTTGTTGATTGAATGAAAGCTTCCTTAAGTGTTGATTAGTTAAATAAACTGTGAATAAAAAAAAAAAATAAATAAATAAAAAAAGGAAAAAAACTTGAAAATAGAAACTTCAACGTTTGGTTGAGTAACATTGTCAAGAGAGATTTAAATAAAAATATATATTTTTTTATCATTTTACATAAACTCATTTTAAAGCCATTTCTCTGCTGTCATAAAAATAATTTTTATTAGCAGATTAGAAGCAGAAAAATCTCAACGAAAAAGACAAAAAAATAAATTAAATGTTAAACGTTATCTACATATCCCCTTCCATTGGTTAGACATGCATTTCCTCGCCCAAGTTTTTATCGTTTATTTACTGCAGCTTAAAAGCAATTGGTAAAAAATCAGTAAAGCAGAGTTGCTCTCACCATATGTTACACGGTAGGCGTGCGCGTTTAATTTGGTACAAGCCTGTGCACAAGGACTTTTAACATTTCTGTCGACTGCGATGCCGATGTCTGCATTTTTGCGGCCGGAGGCAATGTTTACCATTAGACATTACATAGACGGACGGACGGAGAGACGGACAATCTTACATCTATTCAGAATTTAATAGAAGAATGGGTGTATATACATTACGAGATGTTTGCAGTTTCCTTCTGGGTGTTACGAACATTTGGACAAAATAAATATAATACAAAAAAAAATCCCGATTATACACACGTAATAGAGTTGGAATGAAAGGCAATTTTTTACTTAGTATAACCTTTGATTTGGTTGCTAAGAAAAAAGTTGAAATAACGAAACTTGATTTACTTGATGTTCTTACTTTACGTCCATAGATCATGTTTGGAAATGAACACAAACTGTCCGTACATATGTCCAAGCTGAAAAACTTGCAAAAGGCCCTAAAAATAGGCTATAAGTTAAACTGTTTCTGCCAATTCATTACATTTATCTAAAGCGTAGTTCG